GCATCGGGCTCCCTGCTCGGCGGGGAGCCTGCTTCTCCCTCTCCCTCTGCCTGCCTCTCTGCCTACTTGTTCTCTCTCTCTATCTCTCTGTCAAAATAAATAAATAAATAAAATCTTAAAAAAAAAGATACAAATAAGCAGCAAATACTTGAAGGCTCTAATATATCTGTAAGAAATAAACACTGATAGACAATTGAGTATACATCTCAATATTAAAAAATGTGAAAATTAGTTATGTCACAGAATTTCACAAATATGTATAAATGAAGCAGTAGAGAGTTTCTTGTTATTTTGGACAAATGAAAGTACAGAGAAAAGTATTAGTTGCATATGATATAGAATTTAAACTGAGCAGCTTCAAATTGTTTTGTCAGTTAAATGCAACTTTGATTATAATTACTGATTAAGACAAGCTTGCTCTTATTAAGACCTGGAGGTGTCCGTGGTGGTAGGAAGATGGTAAGAATATATTGGTTCATTGCTTTATTCATGTTTCATAGTTTTGGAATGTGTATTAAAAGTCTTACACTTTTGTATGCCTTTGGACCCTGTTCCTAAGAACTGATCCTAAGGAAATAATCATTGATATGGTCAAAGACTTAGTTAAAGGATGTTCACTGTAATAGTGTTTACAGAAGCAAAAATTTTGATTAAAAAACCCCAATTTTTGCAATATGATGGAATACTAAGCAATCAATAGAAACAATTTTATAGGTGAATATTTCAAAATACAAAGACCATTCAAAATACATTAAGTGAAAAAATTAGATTATAGAACATTTGACATAGTAAGAACATATTTTCTTTAAAAAATATACTTACATGTGTAGGTAGAAAAAGCACTGGAAGGACATACCCTAGAATGCTGACCATGTTTAGTTCTGGAGGGTGGGTTATGGGTGAGTTTTATGTTTCTTTTTGCTTTTCTATATTTTCTTAATTCTCTATAATTAACACCCAATACATGTAATACATAAAACAGTTTCTACAAAAAATTAGACCATTATGTGGGAATGATAGGGGCTGAGTTCATGTGTTAGAGAGAATAAGTGATCTATAAATAACTTGTCTAGCTGTAAAGAGATCATTGTGTTTCTCTCCAAGTCATTAATTTATTCAGAGAAGTTTCAAGAAGGTAAAACTTGAGCTTTGTCTGTAGTTAAGATGCAACACTTCTGATCAGAGTGATGCCCTACGCCTATCATTTAAATCCTAGTGGGAGAGGGTTTTTCGGGGTTTTCCCTGAAAGCACGTAATGATGGGAGGGGAGAAGGAACTAGAGAGTTGTTGGGGACTTGAGAGGAGGCACGAAGCAAGCGCACAGAAAAGGAGATTAGATTTGCTGGAAATAAACTTTATCCATCTCTCAATTTTTTCTTTGGGATGATTCTGGTCACCCAGAAAGTCTTCTATAGAAAACAGCAAGGTAGAAAAGAATCCTGCTATCTCTTGATTTCCCCCCTTATATTCTTTACTTTTTAATCTTCCCCAGCACCTCACATTTTCCTGTTACCCGTTACAAATGTATTCTAGAGAGGTTATGGGGTGGCACGTTCAGTTTTCTTGGTGAGTTTTCATCAAGGACCAAATTACTAAAGATGCTCTATGTTCAGTTGAACATTCCTCTGTAAATTTCTGGGTAAAACTTTTTTTTTTTAAGATTTATTTATTTATTTTAGAGAGAGAGAGAGAAGGGGGGGAGCGGCAAAGGGAGAGGGAGAGAATCCCAGCAGATTCCCCGCTGAGCATGAAGTCATATGTGGGGCTCCATCCCAGGACCCCCAAAACACAACCTGAACAGAAACCAAGAGTCTGACACTCAACCCACTGAGCCACTCAGGTCTCCCTCTGTGTAAAACTTTTAAGAACCTTAAAAAAGTTCTTTCCTTCCCTTTAGGCTTCTACTTGATAGAAAATGCTCCCCAGTGTTGAACTGAACTCCCATCTTGAGCTTACTTGGGGTTGCAGCTGCTGTTGTGTGTTCAGTCCCCGCAAGTTCAGTGGGAGGGTCTGGGTACCAGGTGCCATCCCTGCAGCAGGATTTAGCTATAGGGCAACAAAAAAGATTGTCATTGTGTTGTTTCATGTTGAACATTCAAGAAACTAAAATGTGTTTACCAAATGTAAAATATCTTTAAAGGGAGGATTTGCTAGGCAAATATAAACATTTACTATGCACACATAAAAAATAGTATGTGATATACTATTGCATTAAGAATTAGGTATAGAGATGAAGTTCAGGGACTTATTTAGTCTACTAGTACAACCATAAAGTCCAGGACTAACTTTTCCCACATGAACCCATTCTTTTGAGGATTACTTGGATGATTTTATCCTCACTTTCCCCTTTTGACTCTAATAACTATGGTTCTTGAGATTTTTTTGATAGCTTTCTTATAAAGAAATTAATTTCTTCATAGCCTTCCCCATAAAAGTGGTGAGGGTCACAATGAAATATCTAGTCTGAATACAGTCTAATACTAAGTTTAAATCTGACCACCTTAATCAGGAAAGGAATTTATTATGTTTCTTCTCCCAAACAGAGTAAACTATACAGATAGTCCATGAGAAGAATGAAGATTTTTCTACCCCTTCTAGTTTGCTCTAGTTGGGGTGATGATAGTGGTCATAGTGTTTGTCTGGGTGTGTGGACATTGTAGGGGCAGTGAGGAAAATATGTTGGAGGAATGTGCAGAGGAGCTTGAAGAAGAGGTAAGAAGAACTTAAGCAGTTTAAGACATGAGAATTTGATTAATTCCTTTAGAAGCCCTTTTGTTAAGAAAAATTTTTATGATGTACTGAATAGATCCCATGCTCTGACTTTTCTGTGTTCCCTTTCAACTTATCTACAATGAATATGTGTGTGTATTTGTAGATACACTCAACATTAGGTATTGTATTTAACAGTGGACATTAAAGTGATATGAAAGAGTACTTACCAGCTGCAGATCTGACCCCAGTGCGAACATCTGTGTCAGTGGTATTAGACTTAAAGAGGGGAATACCTGTAGAGGCATTGAAATTGATGTGACACCAGAGCTTGTCTGTTTCCACCATGCTGTCAGTGGCAGATACCCTTAAGTGTCTGTATTCCCGTCACAGGTGGATTTAGGATGGAGGTAAATGGAATTGAAGTTTTGGGGCCTCTCACCAGCAATGACCCCTTCTGTGGCCCCCAGTGGCATCCTAGCAATGTGTTGAGTTTAAAAATGTGTAATTGGCTCTTACTTCTTATCTCATAATAAATTATCCACAATGAGATACCACCTCACTCCTGTCAGAAGAGCTAAAAGTAACAAGCTAGGAAACAACAGATGTTGGCGAGGATGTTGAGAAAGGGGAACTTTCTTACACTGTTGGTGGGAATGCAAACTGGTGCAGCCACCATGGAAAACAGTATGGAGGTTCCTCAAAAAGTTAAAAATAGTGCTACCCTATGACCCAGCAATTGCACTACTAGGTATTTACCCAAAGGATATAAACATAGTCATTCGATGGGGCACATGCACCCCAATGTTTATAACAGCAATGTTCACAATAGCCAAACTATGGAAAGAGCCCAGATGTCCATCAACAGATGAATGGATAAAGAAGATGTGGTGTATATATACAATGGCATACTACTCAGCCATCAAAAATTGAAGTCTTAAAACCATTTGTAACAACGTGGATGAAACTAGAGGGTATTATGTTAAATTAAATAAGTCAATTAGAGAAAGACAAATATCATATAACTTCACTCATGTATAATTTAAAAAACAAAACAGATGAACATAGGGGAAGGGAGGAAAAAATAAAATAAGACTAAATCAGAGAAGGAGACAAACCATAAGAGTCTTAAACTGAGAAACAAAACTGAGGGTTGCTGGAGGGGAAGTGGGTGGGGGGATGGGAGTAACTGGGTGATGGGAAAAAAAAAAATAAGACTAAATCAGAGAGGGAGACAAACCATAAGAGACTCTTAAACTGAGAAACAAACTGAGGGTTGCTGGAGGGCAAGTGGGTGGGGGGGATGGGGGTAATTGGGTGATGGGCATAAAGGATGACATAATGAGCACTGGGTGTTATATGCAACTGATGAATCACTAAACTCTACCTCTGAAACTAATAATACACCATATGGACTCTGAAAAACAAACTGAGGGTTCTAGAGGGGAGGGGGTGGGAGGATGGGTTAGCCTGGTGGTGGGTATTGAGGAGGGCACATTCTGCATGGAGCACTGGGTGTTATGCACAAACAACGAATCATGGAACACTACATCTAAAACTAATGATGTAATGTAGGGGATTAACATAAGAATAAAAAAAAAGAAAAAAAATACACCATATGTTAATTGATTTTAAATAAAATAAAATAAAAATAAATTATATACTTTAGTACTTAATTTTACATATCTAGTTTTGTCTTCCTTTTCTTAAACAGCATCCTCAAATTGTATAATCTTCAGGTTCCTTAAGGAGTGAGATGGGGTCCTGTCTTGAGTGCTCTCTAATGTCCATAAACTAAAAAGAGAACTTTAGACTTTGGTGTTATTGTACTACTTCACAAACTCTAGATGTAGGTAAAGAGGGATCCTTTAGAGCAGAGCAAGTGATGGAGTGGGAAGAAGGGGATAGCCAAGAGACAATACAGTTTTCAAAAGTTTTTACATAAGCAAATTTTACAATAACATCAGCTCATCAGTAACAATGGAACTTAAGAAAATTATAAGGAAATCCAGTTATCTTTATAGAGATATCTTAATCCCTGCTAGCTCTGGCAGATACCACATATGATTATGTCACAGTAGTGCAAGGGCATTGATGACCAAGCTTTGTCATTAGGTGTAGCTCTAGCTTTTCAGGTTTTACTATTGGTTGCTAAACCAAATTATTATTGAGACAAAAAGAAAAAGAATGAAGATGCCTTGCTTTTCCTGCTCAAAATTTTCAAAAAATGTTTTGGTTCTTTTTTGTTGTTCTTGTTCCCAAGAGAAAGTCTTTTTCTCTTGTTCAACCATAAGACTGTGTGTAAATCTTGATTTTAAATTCACTAGTCTTCCCGTGTTTCCTTTGTTGGTCTGCAAATGTTCCCTATTGTAGGACTCTCACCTGATTTGGCTGCTGCTGGTTTAGTAATGTTGCCTGATGTGGAGCCGGTTTTGTTGGAGGAAGTCCCAAAGCAGGGTTGAGCTGCGTCTGTGATAACAAATATTAGATTAGGCAGGGATGGGTCTGAGGTTTTGTATCCATTTATTTCCAGGATGTAACAAGCTGTCCCAAATGGAGAAATGTCTGCCTTTAGGCTCTGTGTGTTTCTGGAGTAGTTTTAACTCCCTGGGAAGTTTCGCGTGTGACAGGAGATGGAATTGTAGAGTGGAAAAATGCCAGAGCAGAGGGGTGTGGTGGGGAGGGGTCTAGGGTGGGGCTGGGCACATGGACCTCAGGTAGTAGTTCCTAGGCTTCCTTCTCTGTAACTGCCTTCCTCCTTTTTCAGGACACGAAATACATCATCTGTACATTAGCTCTGTAAACATTTGCTTTTTTCCCCCATGCCTGAAGGTAAGCTGCCATAACTTCTACTGCATTTTCATGAAGCTTCCTGCTTCTGCCTTGTGCCTGACAGGTTATTTCCCGTAATGGAAATTCAATCTCCTTCCCGGCCTGGGTATTTTCCTAGCGTATTAAGAATAACTGAATTCTAGGGGTGAAATTGTCCTTGACATCCCTATCATCTATCTAATTATCATTGATTCATTTTTTATGCCTTTCTGATGATTCAATAAATTCACTTACAAATAATAAACAATGCCTTGTCCAGGTGTCCCGAGTTTTCATTTGATAAATATCACTACTGTACCTTGTAGACACGTCAGTGTCACACCCTGCATCCCCTGCTCCTCTAACTCTCCAGCTGCTTTCACATCATTGGCTGTTAGCAATCTGCTTTAACCCATGTGCCACTCCTCAGTCAACCTTGAATGATTGCTGTGCACCCGGAAAGTTTTATTTATCGTGAGTTTTCACAAATTGTGTCGTAATTTAAATACACTAAAGACACCCTATTTAGAAGAACCTTTCGGTAAATTTGTTTGAAGTGAAAAATCCATGTTTTACAAAATAATTACTAATTTACCTTGTTTCAAAAATAAATTTTGGCAGACAACTTCCTTAAAGAAGGACATAAGTATATTTGGAGTGAAATAAGGAGATTGCTTCTATCCCCTCCCTATAAGATCACCCTGTTCATCTTCAGAGAACTAAGCATAGTTAAAATTTATAATTTAACATTTCTTTAAAAAATCTTTATTAGTATCTACAATCCTTGCAAACACCATGAAGGATCATGTCTTCTTCCCCGCTCACCATTGTATTTTCAGCACTAGCATAGTATCTGGTACATAGAGATTTCAATAAGTATTTGTTGATTGTATGGATGACTATAGATGTGTCAAAGGAGTTCAACTAAGAATGGTCTCTTTTTGTTCTTCTATTTCATAGAAAATTCCTTCTAATTTTTTCTTTATGTCAAATGTCATCTCAGATGGTCAAAGGGAAGTCCACTTAGAGAGGCAAACCACCCACATCTATGTCTATAAAATATTGGAGGACAATTGGAGTATGTATTCGAACACTAGTACTCCTTTCTTTCAAACACCTGTTATATGTGAACGTATTTTTCAATGTTCTAAGTAAAAAAGTTGGCCACTTTGTAATATCCTCTTGCTGTTGTGCACTTTGATCACCTTTTAGAGTTTATATAGTCATACAATTTGGTAATGTTTTTAGGGTTTACATAGTCTACATGTTTCATGCTTCCAGTTAGGAAAGTCAGAAAATGTAGTTTACCTCTTTAGTCATGAGAAAATAATTGTTTGCCAAGAAAATCTTAAATTCTTCTTGGAAAGCAAAATAATTATCCACTTTGAGTAGATATAATTTAAGGCATTCCTTTCCCCCCTAGTTTTTACCCCACTGTTCTGCCAAAATAATTGAAATTCTATCATGTTAGAGTGGATGCTTTTTAAATATCTAAGTATGTTGAAATATGCACTGACACCTTATTAGTTTGTCATTTTTCACCTTGGAAAATAAAAACAGAAAACTAAGGGGATGGGTCAAAGGACAGAGCAGTGTTGCTGGAGTGCAGGAGAAAAGTTATGTCTACAAGCAGAGGGTGCTGCTGAGGCTGGTTGGTAATAAAAGAAACATATTGCACTTACCGGTAATGACTGAGTTGATCCTAGAAGATAAAGTAGTAGAATCATGGCCTTCATGTTTCAAAATGCTATCTATAATAACAAAGTAGTGTCACTCTTTCACTCTATTTTTTTCCCTTTCAGAGAAGATATTATTTAAAAATTTCTATTTGAATTATGGCCAATTAATGTTACCTTTTTCTCCACTTGGCTAAATGTAGGTGAAATGATATTCAAAATCCGGTTGATTGCTCCAGTGTCTGTAGTGAATAATTTTACCCTTTGATGAGTTGTAAGTTTGTAGAAGGAATTTAAACTCAATTCCAGGAGGCTGGCAACTGAGAGGCCAATCAGGACTTAGCTGTCTGTGAAATCATTTGGTTTCTTTCATTTCCCAACATTTCATTAGGTGAGTTATTAGCTGCAGACATCATATTACCCAATGTCTACCATTTGAATAGAGGGTATTTCAGGAAGACATACCCTGTGCAATTAAAAAAAAAGTGCAGACAATAAAAAAATTACAATCCTCTTTCATCTCCTCTCTTTCCCAAATGACTTCCCAGATGTATCTGTTTTGTCCTGTTTCCATGAACATATAAATCAAACATCAGAATGTACAGCTTTGTGTATAGTTAAAAAATTAGGTCTGTTATTTTTTGCTTTGCAACTTTATTTATTTGACAAATAATGGACAACTTCATGTGTCATTACATATAGATTTATTTCATTTATTTAATGGTTACATTATATTACATAACATTTCTTTTTGCTGGACATTTCATCCATTTCCATTGTATTTTATAATGATAAAAGTGGAACAGTGAACATCCTTATAAAACTTCTCTCACAGATGTGGGGATATTTCTGTAGGTTTTATTCCTAGAAGTGCTGAATTAAAGAATATCTGTTTTAAATTTCAGTAGATAAGGCTGAATTGTCATCCAGAAATGTTGAATGGTATGCTTTATTTTAAACAAGGAAAAAGCTACTGAAACTCGAACAAAACACAGGTGCCCACTGAGGTCTGTTTTACAACAAAAGAACAACTAAATGCTCACCACAGGTTTTCAGGGCCCCAGGCTGCACCAGGAGTTTTTGAGATTTGCTACCTCTTTAACAATGTTTTTATGGAGCTTGGTTGGGTCTATTCAACAACTTCTGGGTGCAAATCAATGATGAATTTATGTCATGCCAGGATTTCACATGGAAGGCCACTGCAGATTGGTTTGTTTTAGGGTCCAGAAAGTCTTTCAGTGGAAAATTGTCTGGGACAATGAGGCATTCCAAAGAGCTTTTCTTTAACTATTCCCTTCATGACACAGTCAATTTTTGTTATTGTCAGGTAGGAATGGGAATACTGTCTAGGAGGGGAAACACAAAGTTTAGCAAGTAGATGCTTGGTAAAGGGCAATGATAGAAGCACACACAAGTATGAAGGAGAGCATGGTTAATTTTGTTGGGGGCAGAAAAACAGAAAAAGTTTCACAAGAAGGTAATCCTAAGCTGGGTTTTGAAGGATAAGAAAAAATTCATTAAGAAGGCAAACAGAGCATCTAGGCAGACCAAGCATCTAGGTATGGAGGGATGATGTTATTGTTTCTTAACAGTGGAACAAAATGGAGTGAGGGTAAAAGTGGAGGATGGGGTTGGAGAGATACCTAATTTTAACCTTCTGTAGCATTTTGTTTGTTTCTATTACTCATGTTGGCACTTAATTAGACATTATCTAATAGGGTTCCTTCTTTATTTCCCAATTGTATATTTCTCTTGAATTGGATGGAGAGTCCTTAAGGCCTTGTCTTATATTTGTTTAGTGTCTTCTATGTTAATAACACTGCAAAGCACTAGATGGTCACCACATGTCAATGAATAAATGGTAGAGGTATATGCTATAGAGAATTAGAACAAGGTTGAGGTGAAAGAAAACTTCAGAGAGGAGACTGGGTTTTAAATGGATTTGAAGAATAAATATAATTGGTGAGACAGAGAATAACCTGGAAAGGGGGTGAGATTGAGAGGAGCAAAGGAACATAAGTGCTAAAGGATGTGAAAGGGAAGTACTTTATTTATGTTTTCACAGGCTTTCAATACCTTCATTCATTCCTTTATCTAGTCAACTCATTCTTCCAACTCATAATTCAGCATATATTCACTCTGTGTTCTGCTAGCATTGTTTCAGACCTTGGAAATAAAAGTGAATGGAAGTGGCAAAAATCCCTACTCTCATGAGTTTGCATTTTGGTGGGGGGAAACATTAAATATTCAAGCAGCCTTATTGTGTAGAAACATTAAATATTCAAGCAGCCCACGTGACGTTAGGGAATGCACTTTCCCTGGGCATTATTTTTAGTGAATGTGTAGGAGGTGGGGCTTCCTTAAATTTTTTTTATTTTTCTCTTTGGTGGAGGCAGAGTTGAATTTTATGGCACTGTTGTTTCTGGAATTAGATGAGGAGACTCATGCTCTATCTCCAGCCTAGAATACAGGGCTACTGAACAGCTCATTGGAACTGAATCACCCTTGACTGGGCATCAGGTGATTCAGGGAACTGACAGTGCATCCAGTTCCTTTTGCAAACATGCCTCCAACCCCAAGTGGGAATGGGACACGCCCTAGCTGGAAAACTGAGCAGTCAGTGAGATTTGACCAAAATAAACATGGGAAATTCAGAAGGCTGAGTAATTTCTTAGACAAGAAATTTTAAGTCTGAAAGCAGATAACTTACAATAACATAATTATGGAGTTGAGTGTCAAGAAATATGTACTATAAAAGGAAAAAAATTCCTAAATCATTATAAAACAGAGACATCAGCAAAAACAATGAGGTCATTTATTTTTCTAAAACAACTTAGGATATCAGGATTCATTAAAGTGTTTTATGAGCTGAGATGACATCTTTTGGACTTGTAGGTCTAGACAATTCTTGATCTTTCTAATTGGTTTTAGTTTTATTTCTTTGGGTCATGGACCTCTTTGATAATCTGATTGAATCTATACACCATCTTCTCAGAAAAGTGCACTTTGCTCATGAACACAACGTGTATCAGAAAACTTTAGAGGTTTCATGGGTCTCCTGATAGCTCAGGTTAAGAGTCTCTGGTTTATTTTTTATTTTATTATTATTTTTTTAAGAGAGAGAGAGCATGAGCAGGGCAGGGGGAGGGGCAAAGGGAGAGGGAGAGAGAGAATCTTAAGCAGCCTCCATGTCCAGCATGGAGCCCAATGCAGGGCTTGATCACATGACCCTGAGATCATGACCTGACCTGAAATCAAGAGTCAGGCACTTAACCAACCGAGCCACTGAGGCGCCCCAAGAATCTCTGGTTTAGAGGAATCTTTGTGGAAAGGTTTAGTAATTTATGTGATCCTTGAACTTTCTAGGTTTTCTCTAGTCAAGCAATGTACTATCTTCCCAACTCCATCACACCCAATGGATGTGAGAATATCTGGAATTACCCAGACCCAAGGTTCTCTTTGTGAATCCCAATCTAAGACACTGCTTGGCAATGAAAGAATAAGACAAACTGGAAACCTCTCTCTCCTTCCACCACTTGAAAATTCAGCCACAGAGTTAAAAGGATTCAAGACACGTGATAGCTATTAACTATATTGATAGCTTGACTGAATAAATCAAATAAATGAATAAGTGGAAACAGTAGTCAGCATTCCCTGATGCATGGCAATTTCAATGATACCTATTAAACATAAACCTAAATTGTACTGGGCCAAGCATTGTACTAGATGCTAGGACACAAAAGTGATTAAGACAGAATCCCTGCTTGAATTTTTGTGGGAAATACAGCGAGTATCTGATCACTGTCCAATGTACAGGTGAAGTGGAAGTGTGCACTAGAGGTCAGAACACAGCCTTAGTGCATTTTCATCTTGTTTCTCTGCAGTTTTTCCTCGTATTCCCTCTGTCTGGGGTCTCACTTTTCATCTCTGCTGTTGATGTCCTATTCATCCTTAAAGATCCTTCTTTATGCTATAATCTCCATTAAGTCTCTCTTTCTTCCCCTAATTTGGAGTCAGCCTTTTCCTTTTCTGAAAACTTCTGGGAATTTGTGACTTATTTATTTTATTCTACTTTGGCTGATGCTATTGCTATTTGTGCTTATGTTTTGAGGTATTAGATTTCAAGTTAGATCTTGTCACTTTAACATCCAGCAAAGTATCTTGCATGTGGTAGAACAATTAATATGAGTTGAATTGAATTAACACTTGCTTGACTTTGTCAATTTACAAAATTCTTTAAAAATGTTGACCAGTTTGTACTATCCCAGAGGAAATTAGGGCATATATGTGGAAATCTGCAGAAGAGCCACTTTTTAATGGAATAGTTTTGTGAATGCCAGAAGGACAGCCACTAAATTAAGTATACTTAAAATTCTGCTAAATAGAATATAACTATATAAGTTTTTACTAATCTTTTGAAGTTCTGTTCAGATTTGGCAACGGAAAAATAGGTCCAGACTTCTTGGCAGAGTAGGTTGCCCTTGTCAGAGGTAATAAAGTTCAGTATGTAATGCCATTATAAATGTTGGATATGCTATATCAAATTTCTATAGTCTATAAAGTTGAGCTCAATAGATTGTGGTAACATTGTACTCTGTTTATGCAAAATAATTTCAACTTAACATTAAAAGTATGTACTTACGGATTAAAAAAAAATAAGCTTGATTGTAGATGATTTTCTAAAATGGAAAAGAATGTCCTGCAAATGGCAACAAATTGGGATGTTGAGGGGAGGGATAAGAGACACAGTACTAGTGTAATGGATTAAGTCATAATTTCAGTGTTTAGATGGTATGATGGTTTAGATAAGGTTCTGGGACGGTGTTGGACATCTATGTAGTTTCAGAGTCCATACGATACTGCCAATTGGGTAGTTACTTTCAGTTTTGTCAAAGTAATTGGGAAAATACATAGTTTCAAAGTCAAATGGGGGGTTAGTATATGATTCTGTGATGCCATATGGAGATTCTGTATTTCAAAGTTAGATGCAGAGTCAGTGTAGGGTTGGGTGCCATTACAGAGAGATGTTTTATTTCAAAGTAATTGTCATTGGTGCCAGC